CCCCCCCTTGACAGAGAGCTCCCTAGGATCCAGATGGCACCTGCCAAATATAACCGGGGGCGGGAGGGGGGGGGGAGTGGGGGTGGAGCTCTGTGCTGCTACCCCGCGTTCTCGGAGCCGGGCTTTCTTACTGGTCAGTTTTCATCTTTTCCATCATAAACCCCCTGACAGCTCTCTCTCCTCTCCAACCCACAACTCTTTTTGCCCATTATTCTGAGCAAATGGATCCAAAGGGCAAAGAGACCAGAGAGAAAGGCGAAAAAACGAGGCCCATGTTCACAGGGCTGTCCCTGCCAAATGATCTGTGACTGCAGGAAACCACCACAGGGATGGTCTCTGGGTCAGAGGGTCACCAGTGACTTTTAAAATTTGTTTATGTTGATAGACCTTTAAATTTTATTCATTTATTCATATGTGGTTCTGAGAATGGGACTCAGGGCCTCACACATGCTAGGCCAGTGCTCTACCACTGAGCCACGTCCCCAGCCCACCAGTGACTTTTTAAATCTTTGTTTTAAAAAAAATTGTCTGGGGCTGGGGTTGTGGCTCAGTAGCAGAGGGCTTGCCTCACATGTATGAGACACTAGGTTGGATCCTCAGCACCACGTAAAAATAAATAAATTAAGGTATTGTGTCCATCTACAACTAAAAAATATTTTTTAAAAAATTGTCTGCATCCTGGGGCTGGAGTTGTAGCTCAGTGGTAGAGCACTGGACTAGCACATGTGAGGCCCTGGGTTGATCCTCAGCACCACATATAAATAAATAAAATAGTCTATCAACAACTGAAAATATATTTTAAAAATTTTGTCCTCATCCTTTAATGGTTCATAATGAACATATGTCATCCACATAATTGAGGAGGATGGATATTTTTGAAGAATCCAAACAGGGTTGTTTCACCTCTACTAAAGGAAGGACGTGGGGTGCACAGGGCAGACACCCTGACTTTGAACACACCCCAGACCTGGGTGGGGAGGGCCCTCCAGACAGCTTGCTTGGGCCCAGCCAGACCTGCTCCCTGTGGCGTCCTCTTGGGCCCAAACGTTGGCTGTGGCAGGTGGGGAGGAGGCAGCGGCTCCTGTCCAGCTCTGCCCACTGCAGTCCACCTCCCCCTTCAGGTACAAAGCCACCTTCCACCTGTCTTCCCGAGCCTCGGCAGGAGCTCCCCCTCGCACAACCAAGGTTTTGCGTCAGTTGTCAGTGCTGAGACAACTCACCAAGGACAGCAGCTCAGAACCACACACTTTTATTCTCTTACAGTTCCCGTGGCCCAGAGGCTCACCCGGCTGCCCCCAGGGGCCACCTGGGCTGTGTCTTCATCCACTCAACCTAGGAAGAGCTCACTTCTGGCTGATTCCATCTGTTGGCAGAATTCCCTTCCTGGGCCGTGGGACCGCAGCCCCTGGTTTCTTGCTGGATGCACTCAGGTCTACAGGCTGTGACTTCCAGAGTGCCTGCCTGTCTCATCAAGACTCCTACGAGGAGTTGAGGATAGGAAAGGTAGCAGAATACAACAGTCACTAATATGGCATTATGTAAAAATGTGGATGTGTAACCGATGTGATTCTGCAATCTGTATTTGGGGTAAAAATGGGAGTTCATAACCCACTTGAATCTAATGTATGAAATATGATATGCCAAGAGCTTTGTAATGTTTTGAACAACCAATAAAAAAAAAAAAGACTCCTACGAGGGACTGGGGTCGTGGCTCAGTGGCAGAGCACTTGCCTGGCATGTGTGAGGCACTGGGTTCCATTCTCAGCACCACATAGAAATAAAGGTCCATCAACAACTAATAAAATTTTTTTTAAAAAGACTCCTACGATCTGCTGTGGAGTCTCATAGGAGGCGACCTACTCAAGGGTGAACCGTCCAGTCCTCTGCCACACCCTGGGACTTGCTGTGGGTTAGAAGCAAGTCCCAGATCTCACCCACACTCCAAAGGAGGGGACTGGACAATGGCAGGAACCGTGGGAGGTCACCACAGACTCTGATCACCTTCACTCTTCAACAAAGACACAAAACATTCATTTCTTTCTGGGGTTCTGAGCAGCTACCTCTTGCTGTCCTACCTTCAGGAGCCCAGAGGCTCCCAGAGAGCAGAGACCATTGCCTTATTCACCTGTGTCCTCCCGGCACCCGATGCCTCCTAGTCCACACGGTCAGGGGTGGGTAGTTCTGTTCATTCCCCCCCACTCTGTCTCCACCGTTCTGGGCCAGCTCTGAGCCACAGGCGTCTGGCATCTGTGGACAAGAGCACCCTTGCTCAGCCTGGGGTCATCCACTGAGATGCACTGGAAGGAGCCAGGTGGCGGCTGGAGAGAACCACCCAGGGTGTCCAGTGTCTCACTCCCTGGCTTCCGAGTCACAGTTTGAGCAGCGGTGGCTTTCTTCTGCTTTCAGCCACGTCTCCCGGGCTCCTGCACTACCAGCCCTGTCCCCTTTCCCTGTTAGGCATGGAGGATGGCCCTCCGTGCTGCTCTTTGGGGACACCGCCACTGCCTCACTCCTCTGTTCTTAGTGCCCTCATTCGAGTGGCCTGTGCTTCAGCTGTACATCTAACCAGTCCATTGACAAGAGAGCTCATGCCTGTGGGTGGGAGGCCTGGGGAATGGGATCCCTTGAGACATAGATGCAAGTCGGAGAGGACAGGACTGGGCTCTATACCAAGGTCTCAGAAAGAGGTGTGCACCAGGTGGCCCTGAGGGGGTGGCCGGCTGGAGTGTATGGATTGCACAGTTGACCCAGGGAGGGGATCCAGTGGCTTCCCCTGGTTGCATCACCTGCAGGAATCTCTCCAAGGACAGAGGATGGGAATCCTCCAGGATGAATAGAACTGAGGAGAGGGAGTTGCCAGTCCAGGAAGGGACAGGAGGAGGGGCAGCCATCTCGGATCTGACTCATCCCCCTCCACGTGCCCATCCACCCACTCTCACTGCACAGAAATAGAACAGGGCCCAAAGCCCAGATTATTTACCCTCTTGTCTGGGTGGGACCTAAGCCAGCTTCTTCAAAGGACTTCCCTGGTGGCTGCTCCACTAAGGTGAACCTCAAGGGGGCGCCATCCTCCAGGAGAGCAAAGGATGCTCTACCCTCCTGTGCAGACTCCTGGGGACCAACACCTGCCCAACACTCCATGCAGGTTGCACAGTCTGGAAGGGTGGCGAGGATTCTTGGTCATATCTTTGCATCTCAAGGACAGAGACTTCAGTGTCTGTAGGAAGAATGTCTGATTGGGTGAATAAGACTTTAGGTTTATAGACTGAAAACTCTCATTTATCTCTGCTTCTTCTCAAAATCCTACTAAGATAGCAATAAATGCATTTTTCTAAAAAAAAAGTTACCAGAAATAAAAAAGACAGCAGACAAAAGGTTCTAAATAAAATGTTGGATATAGAAGGCAGCTGGGCAAATGGTATCCGTCTTATCAGAGTGAAGAAAGTTGAAATCTGAATGCTTCTAAGAGGAGGAGATGGAGGTAAACTTGAACCTCATCCTGCTGCAGATTCAGGGGCTCAGGATGGGACTGCACCAGGTGTTCCTGAGGGCTGGAATGCCAGGTGTGTGGGGTAAAAAATAGGACCAAAAGTTTGACAAAGAGCTGGGCATGATGGCCCTCACCTGTAATCCCAATGCGTGGGAGGCTGAGGCAGGAGGATCATGAATTCAAAGTCAGCCTCAGTAATTTAGCAAGGCTCTAAGGAACTTAGCAAGACCCTGTCTCAAAATAAAAAATAAAAAGTGGCTAAGTGGTTAAGTGCCCCTGGGTTCAATCCCCGGTACAAAAAAAAAAGAAAAAAAGTTTGACAAGGGGAAATGAGTTCCCCAGATGCCCATAGGGCAGAAAAACAGGCATCTCTAAGGGTCGATCCCCTCCTGACCCTGGTTGAAGGTTATTCTGGAGATTTGGACCAGAAAAGCCCTGGTCTGTGGGCACCACCCTGGCTCCTTCCCAGGCTTAGCTCCTTAAACACCAACAACCAGGCAAAGGGGATGCCAAGTGGCCTGGTTCCAGCCAAAGATTTCCAGGCATTTGGGGAAAGCCTCAAACTTGAAAGAGAGCCTGAGCCAGCAGACAAATGCTTGGATTCTCAGGTGTCAGGCAGCCTCTCTCTAAGGGTTCTCCCTTCCTCTCCGCCTACCATCTTCTTTTCAGAGAAAGGAGACAGGGCAACCTGATCTAGAAAGCATCTGGTCCCTCTTCCTCCCACAAGACCAGCCTCTTGTGTGCAAGAATTATGCTCCATTGCACATTCTGCCATAGCTATGCCCTGTGAGATGTGATTCCCAGGAACGAAACCGTGGCCTGCCGGCAAACGTTGACTCACTCATTGGGGAAAAAAAACAAAAATCTCCAATGTGTAGGTATTTGCCAATTTCCTTGGCATAAACCCTCTTGCCATGGATGATTTCAGGAAGTCACTGGTCATTGGAGTTGAGAAGAGATGGACACAATCAGCTTTCACAGGCCGATGTGAGCCAGCCCCAGCTCACCATGGAGTGTCCCTGGTGGGCCATGGCCAGAGGCTCACTTGGCCACTGCTCTGAGTGAGCACCATCTGCCCCCACTCCCCTCCCACGCCCCTTGGCCCGTGAGCCTAATTAGTCTTGGACAGCTCTTCTGGACCAGAGGAAGGACCTGGGATGGGGCCTTCATCCCTCACCAGCAAACCACAAGGCAGAAGAGACCTCTGCATTTAGAACTGGGGCAGGGAGAGTCCTCCAAAAGATGGCGTGTTCTTCCTGCAGTTCCTCCCATTCTCCAGTGGCTGCTCCAACCTCAGATAAGACACCTCATGAAATCAAGGGTCAGCTGGTGAATCTCTTATCTCTGGAAGGGTTGCCACGCCCGGCCCATGGGGCTGTGGGGCCAGGGTGGGCTCTACAGAGGGGTTGGGGTAACTCTTGGGGTCATGGAACTGACCCCCCTGGACATGACCTTGCTATACCACCCGCCATGGCCTCCGTTTACCAGCCCACAGCCACCCATTCAGATGCCAGGGAAAGGAAGTACAAGCTTTAATTGCTGCTGAGAGACCTCTCTTTCCATTGTCAACAGTGGGGCATGACACAGCTGGCTTTTCCCAAATAGACATCGCTCCTCCAGGAGTGAGCAGCCCTTCTCCTCTGGGACCCAGAGTCACAGGGGTGAGGGTGCAAGGCAGGGGCTTCTGGCTGTCACAGGCCTAGGGGGACCACAAGACCAGGTTGGCAGGAGGCACGTCAAAGCGCTTGCGGGTGTGGTCGGTGTCCCTGCGGTACAGGTAGCCACAGGTAGGCTTCTGCAAGGTGTAGAAGGGGTTCAGGGAATTGGAATACTGGGAAGTGTAGAAACTGAACCTCTGCTTGTCCACCTTCTGCCCCTGAGGGGCCACCACGACTGGCACGTAGGCCATTGCCAGACACTGCTCGCGGTCGAGCTTCCATTTCCGGGACAAGAGTGAGGATGGTGCCCTCACTTTTTTGCCTGATGGTGTCTTTGGCCCATCTCTGGGTCCTGGTTTCTGTGAGTCCTGAGAAGAAGAGAAAGTGAGAGTGGGGCTTTGGGACCTCGACTGCTAGGGCCAGGGGCAGGAGGGAGGAGACTGGGCCACTGTGCGGAAGCCCCCAGAGCCACCCAGGAGCACGGCCCAGGTTCCTCCAGACCACAGGAGAATTTTCAAGGTCCCCTGATCACACGCCCTGCTCCTGCAGACCTCCTGCAGACACCTGCCCGCTCACAGAGGCTGGGAACTTGGCGGCCCTCCTCAGCGCTTCCCCCTCCATCCCCACAGTCAGTCCCCCACGTGGCTGCACTTGGCCCTCCTCTGCCAGGTCACTGCAGCTTCCTATCAACCCCCCCATCCCCCAATTTCTTCAGCCTGTGCTTCCACTCAATCCAGAGTTCATGGCCAGATCCTCGGACCCTCCTCCTCAAAGAAAATAAAGCCCAAAGCCCCTGGCCCAGAATGCAAGGTGTTGACTCTGCAGCTGGCCATCCCTCCCCCGCCCTGGGCTCTGGCCATGCTGGTCCCCCTGTGGTTCCCTGGCCACATCTCCTATTGCAGACCCCAGCCTGCGCTCAGCCTGCCCCCAGCCTGCATGCCTGCCTCCCCTTCCCTAGGGAGTCCTCACCCATGATACCCTGGGCTCTGAAGGGAAAGCTCTCTTGTTCATCTTTCCATCTCCTAACTCTCGACATAACAGCTGCCCAAATCCTGCTCCTCTCGCTCCCAGGCACGGTATTTAGAGAGTGCTCAATAAATGAGAATTCTAGTGAGGGGCGGCTCACCTTCCAAGCTTCGGGCTCATTCCATTTTAGAACACCTCTCATTGTTACCAGGTGTGTCTCCTCACCGCCCCTTAACCACCCTTCTTCATGAACTATGCTTTGATGTCTACCGTTTTCTAGGACCCCCCCCCCCCGACACTGTCACATTTTGTCACATTGTCCTGACATTTCTTTGGTCCTCTGTCACCACCCTTCTTGACTGTCCCGTCATCAAGCTGTCTTGTTCCCCCTTCAAACGCCACATCACCTCCCCAGTGCTAGACAGTCATTTTATTACGGGGTCAGTCCTCAACCCAAAGGACAAGGTTCTTATAAGTGACTGTCCCCCTCCATGTGTAGGAGGCTGGCTTGATTCCATTGCCCCAGCTTTGAACTGTGTTGGGGACCATTTCTTCCCTGCCCAGCCTCACAGATCTCCAGCCTTCAGGCACTGCAATAGAACCCTTAGCTTGCAGGGTGCAATGGTGCAAACCTGTAATCCCAGTGACTCAGGAGGCTGAGGCTGAGGCTGGAGGATGGCAAGTTAGAGGCCAGCACCAGCCACTTAGCAAGGATCTACCTAGGTAACTTCGTGAGACCCTGTGTCAAAATATAAAAATAAAAAAATTGTGGATGTGGCTCAGTGTTGAAGCACCCCTGACACTACTAGTTTGTGGAGTTAATTGGTGGAAAGTGAGCCCCCATCTTCTTACAAAAGAGATCCCCATGGGTTTGAGTCAAGATGCAGCTCCTTTGGCATTTAATTTACAAACTACTTGCCCCCATCCAATCCTGCCCAGGGCTTTCTTCCAAGACAGTTTTTGCTCCTATTGGTTCCCACCTGTGTTTACATAGAGTCAAGATACCCAGCCAGATCAGTGATCCATAGTCATCTTCGTTTGGGCTAGTGCACCACCATGTTCCATGTTTGAACATCAAAACTGCAGTGTACTTCTCAGAACTGTCCTCGTGGCTAAGTGACCCATGACTATACACACCCATTTCAAAATTGCTCTTATCCTTCCAGGCCCAGCAGCTTTCTTGACCCCCTCCCTGCACTTAAGTCTACCTATGTCCTGTCACCTGTCTTGTGGCTCCTTTGCCACTCCTCCCAGGATGGTGTCTTTAGCTGGGAAGGACCAGGGTGTGTAGGCACACAAACTAGAAAGAAGCAGTCATTCTGCGTGTGTGCAAGTGCCCTGTGGTCTCCTCCTCCAGGTTTGCACCCTGGGTGTTCTGCTTTTCTCATCATACTCCAAAGTATGGGAGCTGGCCACCTTGGCCACCTGAACCCTTTGCCTAGGAAGCCAGTGCCAGAGTGCTTCAAATGGTTGCAGGAAATTGACCCAAGACCATGCAGAGGGAAGGCAGATGCTCTTGCTAACAAGACTGAGCACCTACCAAGTGCCAGGCACTAGCTGCTTGGGTCTGCAAAAGCTCCTAAGGGCCACTTGAGATGTTGCTTCCACTTTTCAGATGATGAAACTGAGGCTCAGAGATTCCTAAGCATTGGTCTACATTCACAGTTTGTGACACTATGGGTAACTTCCTTGCAGAAGCCCCAAGACTAGCTAGTGAGCGGCCAGGATTTCAACGCTGGCCTCCCTTTCCGCCCAGCACAGGCCCTGGCTTGGGCCAGCTTGCCCTGGGTCTGCCTGTGAGCTCTGCCTGAAATGCAGCTACTACCACCGCAAACATATAGGGCCCCCAGCACATCCAAGGACAAGACACTCTGGACAGACACTGGGAAACTGGTCCTGGAAGAGAAGGAAGAGAGAAAAGGAAGAGAAAAATGAGAAAGGAGGGGAGAAGGAAAGGAGGAAGGGGAAGGAGGAAGAGGGAGCCCAGGCAGCCCTAGCCTTGCCCTGCCCTTTCCAGGGACCAAGCCAGGCTCCAAATGACTAACGCAGCAGTCGGCTGAGAACACGGGCTCCTTCCAGGGCCCAGCCAGGCACCGGGAAGGGAGGGCGGGGCCTGGCTGCATACTTTCCAGGTTAACATCTGGTTTCATTGAACAATCTCCTCCCTCTCACATCCTCCCTGCCAAAGGCTGTGTGTGTGTGTGTGTGTGTGTGTGTGTGGAGAGAGACAGAGAGAGAGAGAGAATGAATTTAGATCAGTGGTTCTCAAAGGGTTGGCAATTTCTAGAGATATTTTTGGTTGACACAGCGAGTGGGTACAGGCCAGGGTGGCTGCTGCACATCCTTCTGTGCCCAGGGCAGTCCCATGAGCATGAACTACACAGCACACAAGATCACTAGAACAAAGGCTGAGAAACCCTGGGTTCTAGGCTCTGAAGAAGACGCCCATCACCTCATCTGCTCTCTCACCTACGCCTCCCATTCTGTAGGGAGCAAGAAAGGCTAAAGGGCAAGTAGAGGGGCTTGTAGCTCCTCCCTCCCTTCTGAACCCCGCCTCCCTGTTTTCATTTGGGGTTCAAGCTAGAGCCACCGGAGGAATCCAAAGGGAGCTCTGCCTTCATGTCCCCACCTCTGCTGGCAGACCCCAAGGCCTTCTAGATGTGCAGCTGCCGGGGGGTGTGTGTCCTGCTACCAGGACCTAGAGCAGCAAGCAGGGCCTCAAGATCTCCCGCATGGTAGCACCGCAGGTCTAGGGGAGCAGCCCACACTCTCAACTCCTCCAGGCCAGGTGCATGGCACAATCCACAATGGTGCCTGATTCTTTGGTGGAAGGTCTTGAGCCCTGTTGAAATGCAGGGGAAGGGGAGGGCCACAATCCCACCTTCTGGGCAACTTATAAAATCCTATCCCCAAATAAAAAATAAAAAGGGCTGGGGATGTGGCTCCATTGTAGAGCATCTCTGGGTTCAATTTCCATACCAGAAAGAAAAAGGAAGAAGAAGGAGAAGGAAAGAAGGAAAAAGGAAGAAGAAGGAGAAGGAAAGAAGAAGGAAAAGAAGAGGAGGAGGAGGAGGAGGAAAGAAAGAAGGAAGGAAGGAAGGAAGGAAGGAAGGAAGGAAGGAAGGAAGGAAGAAAGAAAGAAGGAAAGGCAAATAGCAACCAGCTCTGGCTGAGGCAGGTAAAGCCTCCTGGGCACCGGCCGCTGTGGAATGTGCCTGAATGTGCCTTTGCAGCCTGAAAGTCAAGCTCCAGGCCTGACCCTGACCTCACAGGTCAGACAACTTTGGGTAAGTTGCTGGACCTCTTTGAGCTGCATTTGCTCCGTCAGCAAGATGGGGATGCTAAGGCTATCTGCTCCACCGGCTGGCCAGGGGTGCCCTGGCAGGGGGCCCGTGGAAGCCAGTGCAGGTGTCATGATCGGTCTTGCAGGAGGCCAGCTATGGGCCTCGCTGCCTCCTGAGACTGGACAGCACAGGACCCCACAGCAAGCTGCCGGGACCAAATTCCACAGCCCCCACGAGCTGCCTGATCTTTGGGCAAATTATTTCCTCTGTACCTCAGTTTCCCCACTGATAAAGTGGGAATAACAAGAGAATGAATATCAGAGGCCTACTGTGCGCTAATCCAGGTGAAATGCCCAGACTCCTTAAGCACTGAATAAACCTTGGCTGTTTTGCTTTGGTTTTCTGTAGTACTAGGGACGGAGCCGAGGGCTCTCCACCACTGAGACACACCCAGGCTTTTTTTTTTTAAGACAGTGTCTCCTGAAGACAGTGTCTCCTGAAGTTGCCCAGGCTGGCCTCAAATTTGTTTGCAATCCTCCTGTCTCAGCCTCTCCAGTAGCTAGGATTATAGGCGTATGCTACTGTGCTAGACCTGAGCCCTTATTATTATCCATGGCACATTTGCCTAGAACATGACATGGGAAGTGTGTTGGGAAAGTGAAGGAGCAGAAGGTAGAGAAGAGTTGGACAGTGGCCCACTTCCCGTGCCCCAAGGGGACACAGAGCCCCTAGGAGGAGAATCCGTGTCAGGCAGTAGCCCTGGCAGCTGCCTTTTGTAAGAAGCCTGGCTCCCACACAAGTGGCCTGGCTGGGGCCCTCATTCTCCTTCCTGACCTCCACATTTCTCGTGACCTTGAGCTGCCTGGCTCCAGCCCTATGACCTCACCCCACCTTGGACATCCTTGATCTGGGCCTTCCTTGATGGTAAGCTGGAGCGTCTGGTGGTCAGGGGCTCCTGGGACTCCCAGGGACTGGTGGCAAGGTGAAGGCACCAGGGGCATTGCACCAGGGGGGCATTGTGACATCCCTTTACAACACAATCCTGTCTTCCTAAGGAGACCCAGGTCAGGGCTGGGACTGGAGTTTCAGGACTTGCAGGGGTCTTTTAGTCTTGACCC